TAAAATTGTTGTTGACGTGTTTTTTAATGAATTACTGACTCGTTAACGATCATCCATGAAATCATGATCGATTTGATCGAAAAGTGTTTCGATACAACCAAAACGATAAAGGAACGTTTAAAAAATTCTAAGTAAAGTTCATGTTTATAACAGCATTGTTGTTATTTGGCACAGATCACACATTTAAAGAGGACATGTTGAAAGCTTACTGCTAACCTCATACTAATGTGACCTCTGTTTAGGTGGATTTGGGGCATTTTCTGAGGCCTATCCGGAGCTTTGCTACACTTCAACCACCAATCACTGCGCAGTGGAGCCAGAGCCAAAAGTGACAGGCCGGAGGACACCCGCGTATGATCAGGTGAGCTAAAATTTATTAATATTTAAAAACAGAATATTACAATTAAAACGTTTTTGATTGTTTGTTTTGTTTTTTATGTGATGAAAAGGCACAGACAAGACGAGACGATTACTGATTGTTTTTGTTGTCAAATTGCAGGATGGTCCCGTGGAGCTGCTACCTTTCTTGTTTTTGGGCAGTGCCATCCACTCCTCCCGCAGAGAGACTCTGGCTGCAGCCGGCATCACAGCTGTGCTCAACGTGTCCTCCACCTGTCCCAACTTCTATGAAGGGGAGTTTCAGTACCTGCGACTCACTGTGGAGGACACACTGGCTGCAGACATCAGAGCCTGCTTTTCTGCCGCAATTGCATTCATTGGTGAGTATTTCCAAATTGTGTTAGTATAACCTCTGAAATGAGAGTCCAGTCCAGTGTTTGCTCACAGAAATGTCAGTCCAAACTCCAGCAAAGATAGAAGGCCCACTTAGAAAATTAAATCCATGTTAAATAAGCCTCCCCTTTGTATTTTTTTAATAAAAACCTATAAAATTTTAAGCACCTTAAACTCCATAATCCATTTTCAGTCTTACACTTGGGGACCAACAATGTAATCATTAATGATCTGGTTACAAAACAACTGGATTATGGAGCTTAAGTTTGAAAGAGTTTATTAACACCTGATAGTTTTTATGAGCTTGTTTTGACCAGCTTTCCTTCTACAGTTGAGTTCAGGGGAAGGTGGAATTTGATTTAAAGGAACTTCCATTATAGCAGTGACTAGTGACTGAACGCTCATTTCCGGGGTGACAGCTCGTTTAGCCCAACTTTCGGTGCTGTCTGTTCGTAAAACATTACCGCCGATGTGAAATGAAGCACGGTATGCTGATTGCTCTTCCTGTTTTTGTCTCTTTCTCTTCCGTTTCCACATATAGACTCGGTGAAGCAGAGCGGTGGAAGGGTGCTGGTGCACTGTCAGGCAGGTATATCCCGCTCAGCCACCATCTGTCTGGCCTACCTCATGCACACTCAACGTGTCCGGCTGGACGAGGCGTTCGACTTCGTCAAGCAGCGGCGTCACGTCATCTCGCCAAACCTGGCTTTCATGGGACAGCTGCTGCAGTTTGAGACTGATGTTCTGTGTCAGGGATAAAGGCACAAATCCATCTGTGAAATTTAACTGACTCTCCTGCCTCTTGGCATATTGCGTTGGACTCGCCGCACTACCAGGACTCAAACCATATGCATAAATGTGTTGTTGGTACTGTTGAAAAGTTCACTTTGTACATTCAGAGGAAAGCTAAATGTGTTGCTGGCATCACATGGTTGCAGTCATATTTTGAAAATGCTATCTTTTAGCAATGTAAACCACAGTGTCATGGAAACATTATGAAAAACTGTGATTCTGAGCCAGCTAGCTGGAACAGCTATGAGGTAATTTCCCTGACGTTATACTTGAGTGGAGTTGTGCCTGCTTGTTTGGTTTGTGTGTGTGTGTGTGTGTGTGTGTGTGTGTGTACGTGCAGGTGTGTTATTTTGTTTGACTTCTGTGCCTGATTGATTGGAAGGGCTGACTTATTTTCATACACTTTTAACCACTGTGACATGATATGTCTTTTGTAAGGAAACACTGTGTTATCTTCTTATAGCAATAGTTCATTTTTCTCATGTTTAGAAAGTTAGAAATGCACCTACCACAGCTGGTATCATTCTATATCCTGAGACAGATTGGTACACTCAAACTGGAAAAAGTTGTTTTTGTTTTTTTTTAATTGTGTAAATATGTTTTGTTATTTATTTCAGTATTTCTTATGACAGTGTTACTGACATCAATAACTCTTACTGCACTTTATACCTTTGGCTTCCTGCTGTTTTTCCACTGAAATAAAACATGCTGGAACATATCAAAACCGTGTGAGCGGAAAAAACTGTTTTACACACTACTGTCCACCACACCTCACTAGTTGTACTACTTATACACACTGATCCAGTCATTGTTCACCGCACAGACAGAACAATGAGGCCATCGAGTCCCAGGTGCATTTCAGTGTTTTCAGAGCGCATTACAAATGCATAATTTCACACGCTGACCTTGCTGCTTTCGGCTGCTCTTGCTGAATCAGAAGGCATTAAAAAACATTGGGCTGCTGAGCGTTTTCATGGATTATCCTGTGGCAAGTGGGTTTTACAGTCTGAAGTCCCTTTTGACCTCAACAGCCAGCAATGGGAATTTCACATCCACTCATTCAACTAACATGAATCGCTTTAGACACATGACAGGAAGTCTGGAAAAAAAAATTACAGGTAAGAGGGAAAGTCATTAAAGTTATTTCTAATCAGGAAGTTTGGAAAGTCCAAAACACCCATTTGTGTTTATAGCATTTTAATCTGACTAAAACCAGTTTTAAACAGGTAAATAATATAAATTATTGCACTTTTTTCTTTATTTTCAAATTTCAGCGTTACTTTTATCAGTATTGTCAAGGCTCATGGTTGTTTCGACACAGTATTAAAAAACCAGCCAGCTCTATATTCAACTGGTTCAACTGAAATAACAAAGAACTATTACCAACACTTGCGAAAAGACCAGCTACCACTATCACCACTGCTCCATTTCCTGATGCTAATTAAGCCACCCACACTTCTGTTTTGGCCATAGCTAAAGTAGTCCACTTCCTCTCATGCGCAAATATCCATTACCCAACACGTAAGCAAGCGTAGCTGTTCTGCTTGACTTTTTTCTTCCATTAGCCACAGTTTTCCATGCAGAGGGCAAAGTCCAGTGGTTTTCAGGTTGGACTTGAAACTGAGCGATCACATTAAATAAAGCCCCTAAAAAACTGCATTTAATGTGGTGTGAGTCCATTTAAACGTACTCATCAAAAGCACACAAATATGAGCTCAAACTAATTTTTTTATGTATGTTTTCATCATTTTTCTTAGTCTTCCATCAGATACATTTCTTAAAACTTTATTTCCTCCTCTTCCTGAGGGGGTTGGGGCTCAGATTTAATTTTAGAAAAAAAAAAATAAACATCCTTATTTTCTAATCTATTCAATGTTGATCTTTATATTTCAGGCCAAAATAAACACTTTCCACTCTTCTGAAACCATCAGAGGGTGATCTGTTTTTCCATCGGCTTCTTTGTAAATCACTTTAGATGAATGAGTTCAACAAAAACAGGAAAGAAGAAACAAAGATAAACAAATATTTGATTTTGGAGCAGATCAAAACTAAACAAACATTAGTAAGAAGTAACTAAGTACAAATACTCATCACCAATTTGGAGCTTTTATTATATCTGTTCATTTTATTGTATTTATTTAATAGTGTGCTTTTTGCTCGACTACTACTGCTGTGGTCACCAGTTAAGATTTTACTTTTAAGAGACCTGTGTTTAAACTTGAAATTAGAACTCACTGTTAATGATTAAACCGGTGCATCAAATGGTTTAAATAAACTGCAAAAAAAAAAAAAAATGTAATCATGAAAACAAAAGAGATATGGGGAATCTAGAATAAAATGTGTTATTTGGTTTCTGTAACCAGATTTAGGTTTGTACAGCAAGATTAATACTTTCTAAAAAGTAGTATTAGACACATATGTGCCATACAGCTCCAAAATGCTACATAGACGTTGATGTATCAGAACTGATAAACAAATAATATAATATATATATATAACATATAAGTCGCAAAACCTTTTCCCTTCAGTGCAGTTTATTAATAGCCTACTTCAAGTCATATAGGATGATACTTGTGCATTAAGCAGACATTTACACAAGACTTTGATTTGTATTATTGGTATTTTTGCACTGTTACTAGTTAAGCAACTATACTGGTACTTCTTTCACTGCCGCAGGTGATTTCAAAAGACAACACAGGGTACTATCTGTGTTGTCTTCAAAACAGTCCGTGCTGGATACGTTTGTAGTGAAACAGTGCTCTCTAGTGACAACTTTTGGAATGAAAAGAAATGAATAATGATTCAAAAGTATCCAGCAGATGATGCCAGCAGACTGGTTATTAACTAAGGCCACCAGAAAACCAAGTAGTATAGCTCTTTCGCACACACACACACGCACTTCAAATGTGCATTTTACACATTAAATCATCACTGGTGTCATTTAATTTGTCCTCAAATACCAGTACAGGAAACAGACTGTATCACCTCCCCTCTACTTGAATGCGGCTCTCATCAGTCAGTTACGACTCAGTCAGTCTGCCTCATTAATAAAACTGACTCAAACTGTAGGTCCCATCTGTGTCCAGATAAAACTAGGCCAATCATATTACACGAGGCTCTGGAAACACGTAATTGATGTACATGTGTAGCGTACTGTATGTACAAAAGGAAGCATATAAGAGATTAGGGATTAGCAGAGAGGATCACACTTCCTTTGGACATGGCATTACACAGTGTTTGTTATCTACGGCTGACGACTGTGTCACTCAAAACAAGAAATCCCATTTGGAGAAAACCACATGATGAGGATGAGCAACACGATACTGTAAGCTGGAGAATTACAATGCATTCATGTAACATGCACGCACGCACATACGCACTGACCTGCATGCACACACACACATGCACAGAGGTGTAGTTATTTGGAAAAATGACTGCATGGTCATTTGGGAGCACTCCCTGTAATTGTTTGCAGGTTGCACACACACACACACACACACACACACACAAACCTATTTGTACCTCCATGGCTAATGGATAACATGTTCCTCAGTCCAGTCATGGGTATGTTAGAGAGATCATAATATATTTTGCTATGTATGAATATTTTCTCCAAACTGTGTGCTATAGAACATTACAGGACTGGTTTACCTACTGAGCCCTCTGGAAACCTTCAAATAAACAGGAGAAAAAGGAGGGACCTCACTCTGTCGTCAAAGTGGGACAAAACTCACTGACCCTAATACAGAGCTTAACTTGAAAGACAAGGCGGACCTTTTCTGGCTAAATTTTCCTTGATCTCAACACACCATCTCTCTCAAGGTTTATAAATCGCACACTGGTACACATAATAGTATAAGTACCTGAGTGTACACACCCACACATAGAAAACAGAAAACCGTTTTAAGCCAGTAATTCCAAAAGGTCTAAATTGAAAGCTTCCAAAGAGCAGGTATTGTGCTATAATTGATTTGGACCAGAACCATAATGTCCACAGACACTTCCACCAGACCACAGCCCTACATTATTCTGACCTACAGTAATCTCATTTTCAAGACCCTGTTAAAAGCTTAAGGAATTAAAAAGAAATATGAAGTTATTTTGAACACAATGAAACTGTTCAAAAGCTCCTGGAGTTTTTTTGGGTTTTTTTAAGAGTGAGAGTCCTTTCCAGACCAAGTACCAACTTTTACAATGTGGATATCAAAGAAAATTTGCTTATCCACTGTGGGTGATCGATGGCAGCAGAGTTCCCTCCAGGCTTGTGAACTGTATGTGTGAGTGTGTGCATGCTTGTATATCACATGCTCTTATACAACAGGCACTTCAAAAGCAGTGTACTGTGCACTGAACACTGTGTGCCGCTCACTCACTATAACCTCGGCATCACTGACATACCCCTCACCCCCAGAATGCATTTTCAGCGTGTTACAAAGCATGGTTCACCCACGGAAACAGAGACACTTGATTGGAGTGCACTCTCCTGCTAAAAGCTTTATTCTCTCTCCCTTTATATTTAGATTCTGTAGCGTGGAGCGAGAAATGTACGACCATTATTGACTGCTGCTTCTGGTCACAGAATCAGAGAGCAGGCCACCCAATTGTAATTCCATGGGTGGCTAGCTGGGCTTCTTCCTCATTAGAACAGCAATGTGTGGGGGACGCACTACAAAAACAAACAAACAGAACCTCTACCCACACACCATTCATAAGATCTTGTGTGTGTATGACCGGTAAATGTGTGCGTTGTTTGTTTGTGTGCGTTTATTTCACAGAGGCCACCTACCTACTTTCAAACAGCGCAGGATAAACTCTGCTGCTGTTTGTTTTATGGCCAAGTTAAACAGCCAGTATGACGTAGGTTTCAATGGATAATTGAACGTTCAGGCCCTTGATCTCAGGTAGGCAACAAATCAGAGGGATGATAGATGTCTCTTCTTCTAGGGATAGGAAGTGTTGCATGGTGCATAACTGCAGAGGGATTCAAATAGAAGTCAAGTGATGATGTAAATGCATGAGCACAGAACATTACAATGAGTGCCTTATTCCCTCACCCTGCGCCTCGCACAGTGAGCAGAGGTGGAAGGTAACACGGTGCGTTTATCCAGGGAGTGGAGAGGTACATGAGCATGAGGAGATTTCAGATTTCACAAGGACATAATTCACTTTTACTGCACCATTTAATTGATGGTTGTCATTACCCATGGACTGGATTTCATATGCAAAATCTGTAACTATATAAAATGTAGGATTTATTGCTTTAGATCCTCAATCCAGAGGGTGGACCAGTCAGTGCCTAATGCATCAATAATTTAAATCTCCGAAGGGGTTCATCTTTCAAAATGAAGAATTTGTTTTATTAGAATTCTTAGATATTTGTGGTTTTACTACATTATAAAGGTGTGACTACTTTCTCGCACGTAAAATTGAGCCTGCCTTTGTGATTATGAGCTGGCAATCTGTATCGATTTGGACGCTCACAAAACACATTGAACTGTGCACATAAACCCTGCCTCAAACACTGAGGTGTTTTTCAGCTTGTACAATCTTAGACACTGTGCTTACCTTACCTAATCTCATTAAAAATCTGAGAAAAAGCTTTTAAGAAGACTGGGCAGCTAAAACATGGATGGCATTTCCCTTTAGTATTACACTGCGCCTTTATCTAGACCTCCAGCACTGAAGGAGTTATTGAGGACTAAGTGAAAAAATCGTTAACAAACCAAAGAATGATATAATGTCACACAGGCTTTTTGCTTGAAAAGCATAAATGTGAAGTTGCCACATCTTGAGGAAAAATGATGATGGTGATGGTAATGATGACTGTGCTGTTTACCCTGGAGTCCCTGGAATGAAACAAATGTTTTCAGTAAAGCAGATGGCATCGTCTCTGCACTCCCAGCTGGACATCACAGCGTCCTGTGGAGTTAATTGACCGGAGTAGTGCCACCCAACAAGCCATTTCTAATATAACTGCGTTGGCTGAGACGCTTGGGTATAGATATAATTTGGGAGGTGGGGGGGCTGTACAAGGATGGAGGAAGCAAACATCCCATGACGCTCGGCTTCACAGTGACATCACCGGGTCTAAAAGAAGAGGGAGATGGGAGGCACCCCACTTATTAGGTTTCGTCGTAAGGTCCTGTTCACAAGTGAAGATGCTGCTGCCCCTCTGCGAGGAAATCTGCGAGGTGCATCAGCGGAGCGGCTGAATCATGGCATCCCGGTAAACTTCTGAAGCGCCAGGGACCACAAAAAAAACTCCTGAGACGCACCGACTTGAGCTGCTCTGCGAGGATCTTTTTACTACTGAAACAACAACGCGTTTTGAAAGCAGATGTGACATCGTGCGCAGGAGAGCTGGAGAGCTTGAGGTTGTTCTTTGTGTTCTTTCTTGATTGGAAACGCTGGTATTCCTGTGAAACATCATAATCTTTCAACAGACAATCAGTGTAAATATCCCACCGCATTGGTTTTATTTCGCGTCATCTAAAATCACTCTTTTATTTTTCGCTATTCGAATGAGATTGTCAGGTATACGCGCGTCTCCAAACGAGGACGCACGGAAATCAGACCAATTTACTCTAATCTGATCTCTGATATCCAACAACGCCGCACCGTAAATGGCCCCAAATTAGATTGTTTTAAATTAAATCTTTCCATTTTCATGACATTAACTGAAAAAGGATCGGTCTGTGTAAAAAATCAAGTTTTAGTTCTTCAGGGTGCGATGTAACTCTGCGAGGGCGAACGCCCAGCAGTGATTGTTTTTTTCTTTTTCTGTTTCCGTTTTTGTGGAGAAGAACGGGTTTTGAAAAGTGGCAATGCGTTTTGATAGAAAAGATCCGCGTCTTTACGCGTTCCCCAGGACTGTTTGTTGCACATAAAATGGATTTGGAAGACCTGCCGTGGAGGGTGCAAGGGAGTGATCATTTGCGAACAACACAGTGACAAAACTAGAACGGCTGAGGTAAATATGCCAAATAATTATCAATTTATTACAAAATGTATTTTAATGTAAATATACTGTTTTATTAAGGACAAAAATGCGTGATAATCTAAGAGTGTTTAACACTTTATACATTTTTAAAATATTTTGCATGTTTATTTGTTTGTTTGTGTTTTTGTTTGCTTGTTTTAAATTTAAAGCCTCCTGGAAAAATAATCCCAGCATGGCCTCGGTTCAGGACAGCGGCTGCTCCATGGAGCTGAGTGGCTGGAACAGCAGTGTGAGCGGCTCGGGATCCTCCGTGCCATGCAACCAGAGTGTCCTAAAGCCTGCCCCCTACTCCCCGGAAGCAACGGTGGCCTTTGCCACCGCCATAACCTTAATGGTCATCTTCACTATCGTCGGGAACATCATGGTCATCATCGCTGTCCTAACCAGCCGGTCACTCCGAGGTCCGCAGAATCTGTTCTTGGTGTCATTAGCTGCTGCGGACATTTTAGTGGCTACACTCATCATCCCCTTTTCTTTAGCCAACGAACTACTTGGCTACTGGTACTTCAAGTCTCTGTGGTGTGAGATCTACCTGGCGCTGGACGTGCTGTTCTGCACCTCCTCCATCGTGCACCTGTGTGCCATCTCATTGGACCGCTACCTGTCAATCTCCAGGGTCACTTACGGACGTCAGCGGACACCCAAACGCATCAAAGCCGCTATTGTGGTGGTGTGGCTCATCTCTGCCATTATCTCCTTCCCTCCCCTGCTCTCTTTGAACAAGAGTGAGGGAGGCGACAAGGGGAGTGAGAGAGGACCTCAGTGCCAGCTGAATGATGAGCGCTGGTACATCCTTTACTCCACCATTGGCTCCTTCTTCGCTCCATGTCTCATCATGATCCTGGTCTACGTAAGAATTTACCAAATAGCCAAGCAGAGAACACGCTGCCCACCTGGAGAGCCCAGGAAAGATGGGGTTGGCTGTGCAACGCCAAGTCAGCCTCCTCGGCATGTGCAAGCCAATGGGAAGGATGAAGAAGAAAGCACACCTCCTTCATCCAACAAAACCTCAAATGCCAGACCCCCCACCCTCGCTATCACACCTTCTCCAGCTCCAGCAGAGTCTCAAACCTCCCCAAATCCCACACCCAATAATCTCCTGCAGCCTCCATCCCCTTCTCCAGCCGTGCCCACGGCCACAGAGGTTGATACCTCTTCACAAGTCCCATCAACCCCCTCCACTGTGCCTCAGTCTGCCACCAAGACTAAAGCGGAGGGGAAGAAGGGCAAGCGTCTGCAAAAGAAAAAGGCTGACAATAACAATGCTGACAGCTCAAGCACAGAGAGCGATATGGAGCACAGCCATGGAGGGGGACACGGCAGCACCAGCATGCCAGGGTCTCCTGCTGGAGGGGGGATCCACTCCCCAGCCTCAGTCAAGCGCTACCGCGACATGATTGCCACTTCAAAGGGGGCTCGTCTGGTGCCAGGGAGAAAGTCAAAAACAGATAACAACCCTGGAGCAGCGAGGCGTAAAGCCATGGTCAACAGAGAGAAACGTTTCACCTTTGTCCTGGCGGTGGTCATTGGTGTCTTTGTGGTGTGCTGGTTCCCCTTCTTTTTCTCCTACTCTCTCCAGGCAGTGTGCCCAGAGACTTGCACCATCCCAGGTCCACTCTTTACATTTTTCTTCTGGATTGGTTACTGCAACTCCTCACTCAACCCAGTCATATACACCATCTTTAACAAAGACTTTAGAAAGGCCTTCAAAAAGATACTGTGCAGAGGCACCAAGGGTACTTTCTTTTAGCACATAAAATTGCTGTATAGAAAATGGACATTTCTGAGGCATAAACAAAACAAAACAAAACAAAAAACAATCATGTTCCAGAACACTTAAAGGGCTGTTTAAAAAAACATACGTCATATGTAAAAACTGAGAGCCACTTTTACAGCCACAGCGTGTAAACACAAACCCCGGACTGTGAAATCTCAGCTCGCAGCTGGTTGACAGATTTTTACAGAGTAAGGCGAAGAAACAGACGATGAAAAAGCAGCTGAGCGAGACACTATTAACCTGCTTAGTACTTTAGTATTTCTGATAAGATTTTGAATCCAAAGTTTTATCTTTGGATGACAAGGAATAATAGATAATCCTGGGACACAGAGGGGGGCAGCATGATAGAAGAAATGTAAATACACTATAAAACTTATAGAAGGCAGAAAACAAGTGGGAATTAACTCTGTGAATTAATACAACATATTTTTTTAAACATGTTTTGTAGTTATCAAAAACTTTGGGACTAAAGAAGACAGGTAAAAGTAAGGACAAGTGGCCTTAGATTCCTGTGAGCCTAGGGCCCTTTACTTATCAATAGACAACACAAGGGGCACACAAGATTAGTGATGATTTCCTACGTCTGCAGTTTCAACTGTGTCTGTAGTCTCGCAAAGCTGCAGGGCAAACATGTGTTCCTTGATTTTTATCTAAAAATGAAACAAGAGAAGGTTGCTGACGATCTCAAATGTGATAGCACAAACAAGGGCACCCTTTCAGACTTAACTTGTAGATTTTGTGCAGAAAGCCTTCATGTGAAGCCCTGCCACCTTGCTTTTGGCTTCACTGGTCATAATGGACACTCAGGTTGTTTATAATGACACTCTTGGCTTTCACCTTTCATGAAATATTCAATAAAAATTAACTTTGGATGATGGACTTGATATAAAATCCCATGTATGATGCTGAGAAGTAGACGAAAAGTGATGAGACTGCATCTCATACTCTTAGCTTACAGTTTTCTTTCTTTTAACTTAACCTGTAGAATCACCCTAACTGACTTGCCTGAGCTTCTCTTCCAATGAACTGCCTCAGTATTTGGACATTTGAGCAACATTCAAAGATAATTAGAGCATCTTCAAACCCTTTCAGTGGTTTTTCACAGTATCAAATGGGAGGTGCATCTCCTAAAAATAAAAACGACCAGATTCTTATCATTCTACTGGCAAGCATCAACTTTCACAAAACAAATCCTGCTTTGTGCAGCATTATTTACCAGGTAAACATTTTATATTGACTGTAACACCGAGATGAACAATGCAATTATGGACGTGTGATGTTCCCCCTAATTACACCTACAGGGGTTATACTGAGAACTGTTTGTCTGAGTCACTCCTTAACGATGCCTCTGGCACATCATCTTCTGCAGTGGACCTCTACATGGCACATTCGACACGTTGCTGAGAGGCAAGAAGATGAATGGTACTTTTATTTTTCTCACCAAGACAATAAAGCTTTGTGAGTTTCCTGGACAAGAAAAAAAAGAAGGAAAAAAAACAAGAAAATGTGTCTGTAACTGTGAACAGCACATGTTTATTGACTCAATGGGACAAGGGCTGTCAGCAGCAACACATTAATTTAGTAACTGTCTAATTCTGCTGACTTGTGTGAACGTGTGCGTGTATGTGGGCGAGTGTGCGAGCGTGCATGCGTGTTGACTCTTGTTTTTCCTTAAAAAGTGTCAGTGCCTCCTCTGGCTGCTATGTACTACAGATCTACTGTACTGACAGATTTCCTGCATCTGGTTGTCTGTAATGTTTATGATGAATTTGGAGGAAAGATCGGTAGTGTGTCGCTACACTGGAACAGTCTTAATGATCTAAAAGTGAAAGTTTTTTCTGTGACATCGAGTATATGGCTTTTTAAAGATCACCCTCAAGGGACCAAAGAGCCTCACAGGACACCAGCCTGACTCAGTGAAATCTGGCCCTGTGTTTCTGTAATGAAATATCAGTTTATATTTGGTGTATGTGACAGGAGGCAAAGATTGAAAACACTGTATTATTTATTTCAAACCAGTTTGTGTGTTCTGTTACCTATTTATTGTTCAGTTACTGTGCTTTTATTCTGAAAAATCAATTGAATTGGAAGCGATCAGAGACTGAAAAGACTGTACAGAGTTTTAATATCCTGAACAAGAGCAACATTGACTTCCGCCATCAAGCTCTTGCTTTGTGAGACTGAGCTATATTTAAGCTCGGGGTTGGGGGGGGGGGGATGCATTTGTGTTGAACTGAAGGAACATGAACTTTGAGTTATGTGCATACAATGCAACATTTATTCATCATTGTTTCATCTAGTTATAGTACAGTGAAATGTTCAATCAGAGATACAAGCACACGCATTGATGTACAATCTATATCGCAACAGAAAAATGTCTCCTCACCAGTGCTACTGCTGTCAGATGTCTCCTGAAAAAGTAATGAAACATGAAAATGTCAATAGCAACCATAGCCAGTTTTATTTGGATGATTTGCAGTGCATTAAGGCCTGATAATCCATATCACGCAGAGCTGCTGGGAGATTTAAATAACTGATGAAACCAAATGGTTGCAAGCAAGAGCTCTGTGCACTTATACAACTGTTCCCTGTCCTCATTTAAAATGATTATTTTCTCTCCAGTAATACAAACAGCTATAGCAACTCAATTATGACAAAAATAGCCACAGAGGTCATGGATTCATGGCTGCTTCCAATAACTATGAGTTGCAATGCTGCTCAAACTTACCATTCATGGCTTTATGTGGTGAGACTGCTGCTTTGTTTGTTTGTTTTTTAAAAAGTAAGAATTATAGCTTAAAGGTGACAGATGCAGTATTCTGCCTGTTGAGCACCATCCTTTTCCCAGAAACTGCCTGAATTGTCTTTTCCCCAACTGTGTTTGGACCAAACTGCCTGGTCTGAGCTTTGCAATCATCTATCTCCCATCTGTCATCATCTCCTTCCAGTTTGGAAATAAAGCCGCTTGAAAAAGCACAAGTCATTCCCTGGTTCATTTGTTTTATACATCTCCACATGATACAACAATAATAATAATAATGATAATGATAATAAAAATCATTTCCAGACAGAGAATTAGCAGTGAGTTGTTTCACAAATCTGTGATGTTTTCGTGGCATACATGTCAAACCGAAGCGCAATGCAAAGCAATTTCCAGCCATTATGAAATAGCCTTAAATGGCAACACAACTTGGGGAAATAGTCCATAACACTGTGGGTTGATGGCTGTTCAAGATGTCACAGTAAAATCTCCTATCACAGTGGGACATGAGAAGTAGGCCATAGCAGAAACAGCATAATGTCACCTACTGCCAGCGAACACAGAGGAAGTCTGTAAGGAATTAGAGCATGTTTCCAAATATCACACACAGACACATACACACACTTCCCGCACTGACTGTCTCATATTCTATTCAAGTCATGAAAGTCATGTTCAGTCCACACATCAGACACACACACACTTGTTGTGACAGCTTGTTATATTTGAGGTCATCAGGCCTATGGTGAATTGTAATTGATTTATGCTGATGTGCTGTTTGGCCATTTCTCTGCACTGAATCGAGTCTCTCTGTCCTGCTTTACCTTCACACACACACACACACACACACACATACACTCACACACACATACACTCACACACACACACACACACACGAACAACACACAAGTTTCCACTCAAAGAACACCAAAATGATGCCCATCTTTTCCTCCACACTGTTTCATTTCCATATTCAGCACTGTGTGTGAACAGATAACGTATCATAGCCAAGCAATGGGAGCAGTGAGCTGTATGTTTACAATGTTGTATGTTCACACAAACACAGTGTCCCTAAGCTCCTTATTCTCTGGCCTCAGCTAGAATATAAAGAAGACCTGATTGGGGCGGTGGACTCTCCAGGGCAAAAATGGAAAGAGTCCAACTACCACGACACTCAACACATTAGCTTCTTACTCACAAAAGACAATGGACAGACTCCTAAACAACCAAAGCCGATACATGCAAGGACACACTCGGACGCATACTGAAACACAGACGCACATTAAGTTTAATTTAGAGATTTATGATGGATTTAGTATTGCTCTGTATGAATATGTATGTGTTTAGAGGGCGTTCTAGCGCCGAGCATTTTCCTTTTCCAATCTCATCCGCGATATAATGCCAGATAAATTTCTTCCCCCTGTAATTTGGCTGTTGAAAACACCCAAGAGGCAGAATGAAAAATGAGAGACAGAACAGATGCAAGCTCTCTACCCATCAAAGGTGGAGATATTAAAATGCACTCTCGCTCGGTGAAGGCTGTGATAAAAAAAAATGTCATTTTTAGGGGGCATGGGCAATTATGATTGAAATCGCTCAAGGAGTCTGTGACTGTTTAACAGAGTGCCCCTTGATGGGGGTATGTGTGAGTGTGTGCTCTTAAGCATCTCATAAAATTTCGTTTTACAAAGATTTTGTTAAAGGAAAGAGCCGGGATGTAAAACAGTCATTTCCAGCCTTGTTTTGATTTGTTGTGCGTTTGGATGGAAATTCAAAGCACAAAGTGGACGTACCTTAGTAGGCAGTTAACACGGCAAAAAATTAGGTCCTAATATGAAAAATCCAGCAATGCATGAGTGTGCAAAAGAGGGGAAAGCTGAAGAAAAAATAACGAAATATTGTTGAAACAGAAAATAAAAATTTTGATTAAAAAATACAGTCTGGCTAATGGGAAGTGCTGCACAGGACCCGCATATGACAAGACACGTAACGGTTTGACTGTTTGACTAACAAAAACAGAAAGTGACACAGAGCCAGAGGAAACCAAGAACTCAAGATAAAACAAGAAGAAACTAATCAGAGACCACATGATTCGTCACATTTAGATTGTTACCCGTGAACTTGGCATCAATCAGCTTTCATCACGAGAAGAAAAAAACTAAACCAACTGATAGTCGACATGTTGCTGCTGCACTAAACTCAAAGAAAACAATCCAAATAGTAAACTTAACCATAAGCCTGAGCAGTTATGGTAACAGCTTAACAGTTTTATAGGGGGGTTTGGGGTGGTCAGTGCAAAAACAAGCCAGTTTGTCATTTTTTGTTTTAACACACAAAGTGGCGTGAGTTACAGCTGCACCACTGTTTTCATTTTTTGTTCTTATTTAACTACTAAATCAAATAAGTCTTAGCAAGTACAAAAAACTAACAGTGAGAACGGCTGCATTAACCATTGTATAATTGGATGGAAACAACACTCTTTACCAAAAGTGACCAAAAGTTAGCTTCAGTAACTTCATGAGAATCTTAAGTGAGAGACATGGAGAGACCAAAATACAGGAAGCTGCAGTAAAACATACGTGAAGTAATAAAGGCATGGACTGTTTCCAGGTCGTGCTAGTAGCTATTTTTTGACAAGAAATCAAATCAAAGCTTCAAGCCAAAAATAACACCCAGGCCTTTTGGATGAGATTTTAAAGACAGGGTGAGATGCTCGTGTTTTGGCTCAATGTGGACTTTGTTTGAGCAGACTCAAACAACAATCAGCAGTTTTAAAAGGTTTATTGAGAGACTTGTATCCTTGTCTTTGTAACCAATTGGTGAGTGGTGGAAGAGGCTGGATATTTCACAGGGCAGTACTGAAGACTCAGCCAGAGAAAAGAGAGGATGTTAGCAACTGCCATGGTGAGTTTGACAGAACATTGCTGATGAAGAATGCAGAACATAATATGTGGTTCCACTGGCTTACCCGTTTGTTTCCGGAACAGGGTTGTTCGGGTTGTAGCTTAAACCCATTCGCGGGAACGTTCAAGACAATTCAGCTACACGGCAAAAAGCATTGAACACCAAGTAGGCAAAGTTCTTTGTGTTACTCATATATGAGGGAGAGAACCATGACAAGCGCCGTTCCTTCGCTTGACCCCAGTCGCTCTCGTCCGCTCCCCCGTAACACTGCTCTTTTATTGAGGTTACATGAATATACATAGGTTCACTTGCATATGACGTTTCTTATATGTACACATGTGGACAAAGAATACCTTGTCTGTGTGTGTGTGTGTGTGTGTGTGTGTGTGAGACCCCATAAATTACTTCCCTAAACCTATTATTATTTTTCATCTACAATGTAAATTTTGTCTCTTTTTTATTCTTTTTTTCCCCTTTACAATAGCTGGTGACCTGCAGAATCACCGCTCTCACAATTGGAGGCAATTACTTTTACACAGCGCACACACACACTGTGACGTCAGGCACATTCACACTCACTTTTTTCATCTGCATAAATAAATCATATGGCCAATGGCATGTGCCATGGTGATCCATAAGTATGATCACAAGTTTATTTAATTATTTTTCAACCTAACAAAACAAATAAACAAAACATGATGCTGATGCTATGAACACTCTACACACATGAGTCAAGATACAGGACAACTGCTGCGCATCTGAAAGAAGAAGATGAACTCACGGAAACGCTGCACACTCCAGTTATCATAGTTATCATAGTTTCGTTTCCCTCTCTTTGATAAGTTCTCAGCCAGCTCTCGATCTGATAATGTATAGCTTGCTCATCAGCTCAGAAGAGATCGCAACGCAACCTCACACAGTGGTTGCGTGCTTTGCCCCACAGTGGCAAAGACTTGCACTTTCATATTCAGTGTGCTCTATATGTCAGCAATGGCTCATATTAAGATGACAGTCTTTCAAACAGGTCAAGTGCCTCTATGCACGTAATTAGTTAAAATATTTACCTATTTTACTCCAGCTCATATGTCATTGTTCCAAATTTGAGCAAGCCTAAGCTTAATGCAGATTACTTTCAACAACTGGTTAAATTAATGGTCTGGAGCACAGGCTGTTGTTGATCAGGGCAATCTGAAGAATTATCTAACCATTTTGTTTCAGCAAGGGGTGGGGGAAAGCCATTCACCAGAGCATATCTTAAGTGCTGCTGCTGTGGGCTGGCCTTCTCCACACGCTCTTTAAGGCTGCTGTGTTTTCTGAAAACTTCCAACATTTTCCAGCAAGCAGTTTACACCCAAAATCAGATTTATTGTGCCAATATTCTAAATACTTCATGCTGCCAAGAGTGAATTCCATCATAAACTTCTCGTCACCCTCTGACGCACTCTTGGTTGCTTGATAACAACAACAGCTGGCGTCATAGACCACATGTTCTACTCCACACTCACTCACACAAACACAAACACCACGAACAACAACAAAGAATAGGCCTATTGTCCAGCACAATCTGGACCCCGCGGAACTTCTCAACTCCCCACAAAGCGGCGGAGAACCCACTCAACTCCCCACAAAGCGGCGAAAAACACTGTTCTTAGTCCCACAAAGCGGCTAAGGAAGTACACACTCACACGGTTATAGAGACGGACTCTCTGAACTTACTTGGTATGGCTTATTGCGTGAAGCATCAGTCCCGAAGCCCGCCGATTGTCATCCATCGAAGAGAAAAGACAGACAGCTAATCCACCGGCCCGATGACAAATTCTCACGTCTCTGGACTTTACTACAGGAACCTCCTGGCTGACGTCAGTCTTTCAGCGTGTCTCTTTTCCTCTCGGTGAATGTCGACTCCAGGGCTCCGGCTCGGAGGACCAATTAATGATAGGTTTGTAGCTTAAACCCATTCGCTGGAACGTTCAAGACAATTCAGCTACACGGCAAAAAGCATTAAACACCAAGTAGGCAAAGTTCTTTGTGTTACTCATATATGAGGGAGAGAACCACGACAAGTGCCGTTCCTTCGCTTGACCCCAGTCGCTCTCGTCCGCTCCCCCGTAACACTGCTCTTTTATTGAGGTTACATGAATATACATAGGTTCATTT